ATATGTAGAATTGCTGTGTGGACTCGCAATTGATTAAGCACTTGAAACGAAGAATCATTCAACGCTTTTTTTCATTAGAAACCATTATGTAATTGGAACTGAATTTTCTGGAATACGAAGAATTATTTGAGATAGATAATGTTGATAATTATTTCATTTTCAAATACAATTGCCTTAATGCTTCATGTATGATACCTCAACTTTCTTTATATCTTTGTATTTGAATGTCCTTGTTCTTGATGAGGTTGATATTCGTCCTCTTCATATGTTTCATCGACTTTATGAAAGAAAACAAAACATGCATGCATATAAAATAATTTATTGAAATTGTGCACACGAGGTTACTAATTACCTCCGTCGACCAAAGCTCGCAAATCCTTTTTGTCTTGCTCCATTTTCCAAAAACTTCGCCGTTTCTCAGCAGCTTTTGCAATGAGTACAAATACTTTGGAGTTATCGCTATGTTTAAGTTCTGGTAAAACAGTTATAATCTTTTCATTGCTCAATTGAACACGATTAATCTGATAAGCCACGTTTTTAACTTTCATTTTAACACGATTGGCACCATGTGATGTCAACAGACGATGGACAATCCAATACCGTATGTTGTCAATGTCGTTTGTTGAATAAATACGTTCATGTGGGTTTATTGAGTAAAACGCATTCATACAGGTATAAACACCACAGCTACAAGAATCATGTTGTTTGGGTATTTGGTTCGGAGCAAGAATTAACCAGTTTTCCAGACCAACTGCACGTCCACGTATTTCATAAGAAGTTGTTATAAAACCGACAAGTGAATTTATTGCGGATATGTCAATGTTGTGGTAGGAGTCATAATAGCAGAGAATGTTGGACTTCGGATAAACAACCACAAGCGACCAGTGACAATTTGCAACATTTATTGGAAACATTAAAATATCGTACTTAACTGGATCAACGGCTAGAGATGAATTAACTAGCCGGTTGCCTGACAAACCATTCTTTAAAGTATCGTGAAGAAGAGAATTGAAACAATAAACACTTTTACCATTATTGCTATCTTGGCATATCGTCGCGAGAAATGCATTTATAACATCGCCGTTTAACCAGTTCAATGGTTTAACAGTTTTCAAGTCAAAGGATGTAACGGATTTGTACACTACCTTCTTTTGGTAATTCCAGACTTTTTGGTAACCCGTTGAATATCACTTTCCTTTAGATACCATGGAACATCACTTCTCTTTTCGGTATAACTGACCGCATCATTTTCGCTCTCACGCCAACGATCCCCTTTGATGTAAAAACATATGTACACATTTTGTAGGAATGCTTGAGACTGCAGTATTTCTTGCATATCACACTCCCTGACAACCGTGTCATCGTAAAGCGTTGCTGTGTGATCTGCATGGAATATATAGCTAACGAAATGTTCCTTTTTAGCACTAGAACCATAATGGAGAACAGCATCAAATAGACTATACATTATATCGTTCTCATCGTAGTCGGTTGTTGTTGTACCTCTACAATTTATGCGTTCACCACAAAATATAGGTGTATTGATTTTAATTCTGGTGTTTCCGTTCCACTTGACACAATTAATTGTTATGACTGACATATCGGGTATTTTATGGCAAAGCTCAACGTAATGGGAAGCAGGATAATCCGTAGATAATCTTCCAAAAGTTAACGTTCTTATAAGAGACCACAGCTCAATTTTATCACTATGCCTAGGAATATCAATTGATAAATTCCATGGCATGAATGATCTCCCGCACATTCTGAAGAAAGGCACCTGTTTAGGCAAAAAATGTGCCATTGAACTAGGGAAGTGAGGTATTTCCTATGATTTTCATTGATTTCAGAATACATTTCGCTAAATAATGGCTATTCACACACGAAGCACATACGTAATTTGTCGTGAGAAGATTGGCTAAGGCGGGGCAGAACTTGACACAACGACAATGAAAAATTTCTTGACAAAGAATGCATTTGACATTATTGCCCATTTCTATATTTTGTCTGCAAATGCAATGTACTCCTGTGTAGGTATCTTCGTAGCTTCCTTTCGTAAGGTTGTTGTCACACTTACCGGGTTTAATGAAGGAGTATTGTTTCTTCTGTACATTTGTCAAGCCTTTCCATATTTTTTTTACTTCGTTCTTCACGTTTTTGAAACCATGTTTTCTTTGAGCTACTTCAGAACTTATCTTTTGTTCAAATATCTTGAACTCCTTACTGCTACAGTCGAGCTTTTGTGTTGCATGCGATTCTGTTGCTGTTTTCACAGCCACTGGCCTGAAGTTCAGCTTTGTCTGAGACGGTGAAAGATATTTACCTTTCTTATTTTTTCTTTTAAATTGTGGAGACGATTTATTCCATTCTTCTACAGGTTGCGGTTGGGTAATTTCGCCATCAAACGAGCTGTCCTCTTCTAACGGTAAGTTACCATTACTGTTTGAAGACTTTTCCATGCCACAAATAAGTGACAGTTTCTCGATAGACCTACTATTTGAAAAGCATAACTCATCCGATTTCAGCAATCCATCGACAAACTGCCTTTGAAGCCCTTTATTGTCTTTCCAGTTCTCTGCAATAAAAGTATCCAATCGCATGTTTCGTCTTCCCTTGAAGGAACAGTTTTTCTTTATATGAAAAAAGTCTTCAACTTGACCGTTTGTGTTGTTGTCCTGAAGATAATTTCGCTGCTTAATATTGAAGTTATTCATTGCTGTTCTTGCTATATATTTCTCATTAAAGCGCGTTAAATCACTGAAAAGAAGGCGTGACCACAAAACGCAACTTGGTAGATAGTTTTTGAAAATGAAAGCAAAGTATTTTGGCATAAAGTATTTGTTAGATTTTCCACTGTTTGATTCGTTCATTTCAAAATCAGATAATTGTTCGTTCCAAAAAGTAATCCAGACGTTCCCTTCTTTTAGGCTGCACAGTGTTTCTGTTAAGCTCTCAGCATCATCATTTGGCGTTTCAATTATAAAATCTTCCTGGTCACTATCAATATCTATGGGGAAGGTGAAATCATGAATGGCTTTGGAGAATGCTTCCAGTTTTCTGTTTAATGTTGGGTTGTCATATTTACTTTTAAAAATGTAATAGCCAAGGGAGACAAAATTTGTCATCTCATGAAGTGTTGAACAGTACAACAATCGACCAAAGAAACGCATTGCGATGTGAACCTTGCTACTTCCTGTTTCCCCTTTCCCGTATAGTTTCTTAACATGAAATTTGTTTAACTTTAACATATGCGCGGCACAAACATGAAATATTGTTTTTCCAGCGTCTTCTCCACTTGCATGCCCATTGATGATATTAAATCCTCTCGTCAAGTAATCTTCCACATTCTCGTTTGCAAACTCCCTAATACAAGCGTTAATTATTGCCATACTAAAATCTGTCGTCACTACAGCAGGTGTAGGGTAGCAAGATACATTTGGATACACTTCTTTCTCTTTTTCTTTCAAAGTTCTCAACATTACGCGTATTGAATCTGTGGTGTGGCAACTCGTAATGTACTCTACAATAGGAATAGGAGGGTATTTCGCATACGGATGTCGCACGACCATGGCATAGTATAACAGTCGACCACGATCAAGGAGGCCTTCGGCAGAAAATAACTTTCCAGTGGCATCAATATAAACAATGTCGTACTTTGCTAGTTCGTGGTAAACTCTAACAGACGCCTCGTTGAAAATCACTAAATTGATGTTATCAGTTAAATTGAAGTGCTGAATATAACCGAACAACTTTCGCCACATATGTCCCACTTTTAAAGCGTCTTCTTCATCTTCTCGTGATACAGACTGCTGAAGACAAGAAATACCGGTACACAGATTTTTATCAAACTGCGTTTTCTTTTTGGCGGCAGCACAAAAATTTTTTATTGTTGAATGCGATACACCAACCCCAGAACGGTTGCCAGCTTGAAAAGCTTCCGACGGTAGTTCCACGAGTTTATCTCTATGGTATTTTGATGGCGTAGTGTTTGTCCGCTCGTATTCTTGGATTGCTGTCGCACGTTGCTCTCCTAACATTTTTGTTGCTTTTGGCTTTGTTATGTCATGTTTTACGTCCCCTATGAATTCGATCCTGAGGATATTTTGGTCACGGTCTTGAATGGTCAGGTGAGAAACAACGTCTTCATGCTTGCATACCACTGTTCCTCGCCAATACGGACAACTGGTTTTTCGAGAATTTTCCCTTTTGATGTAATTACGCTTAAATACGAAACAGCAAAACAGGTTAAAAGCCTTCAATATCTCACGAAATAATGTGGCATAGTTCCCTGAAAACGATTTTGGCGTGCTTGCATCTTTCCCCTTCAAAGGTATGTTCAACCAATCTGAAGGAAGTGTAACATAAGAAACAGGTCGAACAAGCTTAGCATTAAACGTACCCGAAGACGGTATATTACTACTTGATAACGCATTAACCGTGGATGCCAGAAGATGTGGTGTATTGAAAAGGCGCCCGTTTTCATTTTCCTTCAAAGACTTATAACATTGACACTGATCTCTATCGATGTTGTAAACGTAGTCGTCTGGCATTTCAACGTCGACTTCGCTGTCAAGACTGCTGTGATTGGTGTCTGCAGGTTCTTCAATATCGCTTGTATAGGACATTTCGATATTAGCATCGCTGTTTTGTTCCGAGTCATCGGCGTATGGAGAGTGACGCAATAAATCTGGATTGATATCTTTTGAGTCGCGAAACTCGCTAGAACCGACTGAATCCGCGCCACAGGTGAAATCACTATCATGCATGTGATCTTTATACGCGTAAGATACTGCTCGACCAAACACATTCCCAAAGAATTCTGTTAACGTGCAGTTACCTGAATGGGTATTAGAGTTGCATCTGTAATTCATAACATTTCTTTTCTCATATTCATCGGCTTTGTTTAATTCAGTGTCACTAAAATCTGATTCAGCACTGTAAGAATTGACGTTCATAAAAGAATTTTGAGGGCTATAACTTCTGTTTGCGGTCGCTGGCTGTCCACAGCCTGACTTTTTCTGGGCTACCTTTTCATGAACATTGAAAATATTTTTTCTCCAAATCATTCGCAGTCTGTTCATTTTTTTCTTATCCACTCGAATTTCTCCATAATACTCTTGTGCGATTGATTGCCACATATCCTTTTTACTTTTGGAATCGACTCCCAATCTTTCAGCAACAATTTCAACAAATTTGTTGACATTGAATGGTTGAAAAACCGGTCTTTTTGGTCTTCCACGCCCACCGCCCAACAAAACCAATTTATCACTTACACCGCTATTTCCCCATTTTTGGCTCCATTTTAGTAATATCTCTTCCTCCACTTTGCGCAATAACATACGCTTTCTTACTAAGTGACGATTTTTTACACTTTGCCTACCCGAAGGACATCGAGATCGACGTCGCCGAAAATTTTCTGACTTTGAACATACAATACGCCTATGTTGCCGACTATTACGGGAAACGATCTTATGCCAGTTTGCCATGTTTTAATTTAAACAACTTTATTTCTGCAAAGAAACAAGTTATGACAGTTTGTTATAAACCTAGAAATAATCCATTAAGTTTTAATCGCTTGTAACTAGTGATACGCTTCTTAACATTTCTAGCCTAACTGTGTTAATACGTATTAATTAAATCAATTGTCTTTGCACTAATTTTCATCGCCTTTTACAAAAATCGTCTTTATTAAATTGAAATAGATTCCAAATAAATTTCATGTAATGACGATCTACATCTCAGGATTGAGTAAATCGTTAAAAACCCACGTAATCCAAACTTGGACTATTATTTTACAACTGCATGGTGAAGTAGTTGATTCGTCGTTTTAATTCATCATTTTTCGTCATCTGGTCTCGTTGCGACGGAGTGTGCGGTTACCGGTGCCACATGATTTTGCCCGTGGGGCGAATTTCCTACAATAATATGACACTCGACTTTTTTATAAGGCCCATTCACTACTTTTTACCCTCGACTTTTTACTCTCGACCCTCGACACTCTACTTCCCACCCTCGACAAAACTCGACAAAAACTCCCGTCAATAGCAATTTGCGTGCTTAACAGGATTAATTTAAAGCTTTCATACACTTGTACTAAATACCATAGGTTTGTCCTACTAGTTATAAAGCCAACTTATTTGAGTGCAACATCATGTAAAATGGACTAAATGGTCATAAAGATGCAAAATGGATTGTTGTTAATGCTGATTACTTGAGAATATGACAAGATGAAATTCTCGAGTGTCCAGCGGATGAGTCCAAGCCGCACAAGGAAAAATTCTGCCTTGCCCGCGGCTAGCTACGGCTATTTCAAACACGTTACCTTCAACGCTTGACGCTGTACTATCACTGAGCTACACGGTCAAGTCCGAATGAGTACTGAAAAATATGAATTATATACTGAATTTCGTAAACATATTCGACGTTAGCAGTATCATTTTTGCATCGAACAATACTAGTTCTGCCAGTGTTATGTGCTAGTCTGCGAGTGGTTACTGACGTTATGTCGGTAATTAAATTCTTCTTACCAGAAAAAAATTGAAACAAAAAGTGCTTACCTTACGTTCTCTTGTCATGAGACATTCGCTAACAATCTCTCAAACACCATCAGATGAACTTTGAATTGTAACTTTATTCATACCATAGGGATCGTTTTTCGAGATGAAGATCATCTGTTAAGGAACTTCTACAGTTCAAGCTCTTTTCCACTGATCGCAAGAATGAGCTGGCAAGCTCGCTGCCAATAATTTCATCCAATCACAATACTCCTCTAGTTGGTTTTTGCGATGAGTGGAAAAGAGCCTTAAGGCCCAATGTGGGCGCAGCAACCGCAAAACGTGAGTTTGCAATATTTGCATAAATTGCGCGTCATTGTATGATGTAAATACTGCATGTTTTAAGTAGGATATGATATGATGAACCTTAAACGACTAAGGGAAAGAACATTCTTTTCAAGACATGACGTGTTAACTACAATTTGTTCCTAGTTTTAGACTATGAATATAAGTGCCAAAAATATTGTAGTGCTTATAGAGTGCATTACAGAGTGTCCAACTGTTAGAATGCAGTGTTAGAATTTTAAGAGTGTTTTTATATATCGTATTTGGAATGTATGTATAATTGGATTGATTATATTGATTGGAAAATATTTTGAATAAAAGAAAATTAGAAAAATGAAATACAGTCCAGTGGTTTGTTGACTGTCCGTGAATATGAATATATAGTTTAACTTGTGCGAATAATTTACAATCATCAACTCGTCATCAATTTGAGTGTGATGACGCACATTATGTACAAAACCCCCCCCGGCACAATCTTATCTAAACACTGGGAATTGATGGGAAAGAGGACTCTTCAGATTGTGCTGGAATTGTTGTAAAATTAAAGGTATTTTCTTTGCTTTCCTCAGTGCACGGATCTATCAGTTTTCTGTTTGGAAACATCTTATCAATCTTTCTCAAGATATGATTTGAATAATAGGATTATAAAGATTTGTACCCTAAGTAGCTGTCGAAAAACACACAACATAAGTGTTCCATCAATTATCACCTCTATTGTGTGTACCATAATAATCACACCAATCCAAACAGTTGAGATAGTATAGCGAGTACAGCGCGTATTTGTGTCTTCCTGTAGGCCATAAATAAATAAATCTCTAACCTTTTCTATATTCGTATTCACGGACAGTCACTATTTTTTTAATATTTGAAATTCGATCTGTATAGGGAAATATCGGACCGAGGTCTTTTTTGTACAGACCGAGCCCATAGCCATAGGGCGATATTTGTACAGAATGAATATCTTTGTCATAAGGTAGCCGGCAGCCAGATATCTTATTAGAGGGTCCTGAATGGGGGGAGGGGGTCCCAATCCCATTTCCCACCTGAAATTTGGCAAAATCATTATTCCCAGTTGGATTTTATTAGAAATCCCAGTCATGTTATTGAAATCCCAGTCAATAAAAGAAGCGGTAGAATAAACAGTTTTAAGACCTTTTAAGATCCGACATGACGGTATTTTTTGTTGTGCTTTGCCTTTGAGGTATATACTAAGGGTTAAATGAAGTATATACCGGAAACCAGGCATATATTCCGCTGTGCATCTGACTTGAGAACACGCATAATCAGAAAACCCATAATTCCAGGCGCCAGAGTATGCCTGTTTGCAGGTAGTGCTGTAAATATTAACAACAAAAATCATTACCAAAGACACCAAAAACGGATCAAAATTGTATTTTAAAATACTTAAAACGTGGAAAAATTGGGAATCGACTCGCATGCATTACCTCAATCCCATTCCCATTTTTGAGGACTTCATTTGCCATTCCCAGTGGCTAAATCCCAGTCCCGGCAACCCAAATCCCATTTTCCCAGTCTAAAAATAGATCAATCCCAGTTCCCATTTTACCCATTCAGGACCCTCTTATCAATAACAAATTACAGGTAAATTATAATTTTCAAATTTTCAATTAGTTTTGCTGTTTTAATTTATTGTGACTATCGCATTTAATTGCTTGCTTGCTTGATTGTTTTGGACCTTATACGTCTAGCCTATAACCACGTCATACTCGGAAGCGCGTCACAATTGGTACTGAGCAGTTGTCGTCATATATAGGGCACTAAGATTTATAAGACCCTGGCGGGTTAATTGTCTGACTTTAAAACATATTCGTACTATTTAATTGCAATTTAACAAATTGTAAGTGATAGGCTAAATCATCACGTTTATCTGTTAGACACAGGCTATTCTTATTTTTCGTTATAACAGTAACGATCGTAGTCGTTAATTAATTAATTAAGTTTTTGATATAAGAAACGAAATTATGTTCCCAGCACCAACAACCATCCGTTATCTCCTCACAACCAGCTGATACATTAAAATCACCATATATTTTCTAACAAATTAAATTCATACTGACTTATGGATACCAAACTATAAACTATCAATCACCAGGAGTGGACTTCGGTACACTGGAGCATCTTTTTATAATATGTTGCCACCAGATATTAGATCTTCCAGCTCATTTCAAGCATTCAAGCGTAAAGCCCATGAATTGTTTTTGGATATGTATAAAAATAACTCATAAGATGTACAGTGTATGTTAATTCCAATTTTTTATACCTATATCGATATGTACTTTATGTAATTATGTATACTGTAGTCTGCAGAAATGTAAATTGTACTGCATGTAAATATATTCGATTGTATAGTTAACTTTAGAAGGTCCAGTGGAAGATTAGCGAAAGCTAAACTGGCATATTTCCTTGTAAATTAACCTTCTTTAAATAAAGTTTTAATAATAATAATAATACTGCAAGAACAACCTCGTTCCCAGGGCTTTTCCCTTTTTGTCATTGGGAAGAGGTTGACTGCAAGACCCCGTTTACACGGTACCGGACGAATTTGGAACCGGTCTGAAATTCGTCCTTTTTCGCCTGTTTACACGCGAATGCGTCCTGTTAGGAGGGGGTCTCAAATTCGTCTGGTTCCGTGGTTCTCGTGTGCGGTTTACACGGCCGAAACGGCCGAATTTTAGTCCGGTTCCAAATCCGTCCGGTACCGTGTAAACGGCGTCTAAAATTCTAATCTGTGTATAGAAAGATTGCGCATTTAATTGCGTATGTTATGCTAAATCTCTGTTAGTAAAACGTAGGTTTTTTCCATAAAGTTTCCATAAATTAAATTTCTTTTTTGTTGTGCTCATGCAGGTTACATATGACGCTTCTCTTTTGTTGTGTTTTGCGATTTTTCCTGCCCAAACAACGAGTTGTTCGACGATAAAAAGTGCGTTATAAGATTCTATGATAGTCGTTGATGAATGTCTTTTGCAAAAGAATCTTCCAAATTTAAAGCATGCCGCGTGAGAAACATTTCTTCGGTTCACTTTGCAGTTGACCTTTGCTTCAGGTTGTAAAATCTACAACTCGTCTGTTGTGTTTTGCGATTTTCCCTGAGCTACAGAAAAGTGTTTGAAACTCCTAAATTGCTTCATATCATTGGATTTAAGGCATTAAAAGATGTCCTCCTTAAACGGTTTGATACGTGCCTTTATTTATTAAAAAATAATGATTAATACAACAACAACTGTTTGACAAGCAATGTCTGCATGTACAAGAGCAGTCTAAAATAACAATCTTTTGCGATTTTTCCTGCGGACATGGTTTGCTGAATCGCAATAAAAACCGCACAGAATGAAGCGCACAGTCATGTAGATGAATGTCTTTCTTTGCAGTATATCTGCCGGTTTATACACTAATAACAGTTGCTGTGGTTGAAGGATTTACGCAGACTAACGCTGTTTCAGCTCGAATCTGAAACTGAATCTGAATCTACATGAAATTCGAATCTTAACGAAAAATATCCGGGGGCGGCTGACATCCTATCGTTTTTTCGTAAAACGATTCCAAGACCTTTTTTGCAAAAACTATTGGGCTGCTATTAACATAATTCAAACTTCAGCATGATTTACAGTCAACTTGTTAAGATT